CTCTTAGGTTTGGAATTCAAATGACAACCGTTTGAATTTCGCGCCTGATACCGAGCGGCTGCGGCTCGCAGCGCTTCACTTTCCCTGTAGCTGGGCTAACAAGCGGCTACAGACGCTTCTAACTTTTGAACCTGACCGCTTTCTCTGGCTGCAGATCAGCATTCGCTTCTCTTCGCTTGCTGACCGCTTTCTCTGTCGGCGGATCAGCGTTTGCTCTTTTTGCGTGCTGACCGCTCTCTCTGGCTGCGGATCAGCGTTGCTCTTAATGCCGGCCGATCGCTCTCTCTCTGGCTGCGGATCGGCGGCTAGTGACTCAGCGGTTGCATGGTGCTACTGGTAGCCATCCCACCCTCGTCGCCAGTGTTAAGTTTGGGCAATGAGAGGCTGAACCAGAGCATGAGTGCAACAAGTACTTTATTATAACAATAAAGGGCTGACCGTGCTTGCCACGCCTGGAACTGGCTCGCAGCAATCAGCAACTGGTTGGACCCCGCAGCCCGCTTTTATAGCTGGCTGCTGGGAAGAACCAACCAATGGGTGAAAGGGAAAGGTCGCCCACGCAAAGGGACTGGACCTGAGTGAGAACTCCTAGAGTCCTCAGGACATAACAGGTGGGGAGAACGAGGGATTACTTAGAGCGACGGCAGGAGCGATCCCCACCCTCCCAAAAGAGCTATTTACCAGTATAAGGAGCTGGGCAATAGTCGGCTCTCTTCCCAGAGGAAGAGAGAATTTTACGTTTATCTCTGGTTTTGATGAGATAAGGTTCCAGAGCATTACCAAAAAGCTTATCACCTGCGAATGGAACTGAAACCAGCTTCCATTTACGGCATGACTCCGCCTGCCAATTTCTGAGCCATAACAGTCTTCTTGCTGCTACTGAAGATGCCATGGCCCTAGATACAAATTTGGCGGAATTGAGACTGGGATCTGTAGTGAATTCCGCCGCTGCAATAATCTTATTAAGGCCTTGGTGAGACCGAAGGTCAGATGTAGGCAATCTAATCTGGAGTTGGTGCAGCCACTATATGGATGCCCACATGAGAGTGCCAGAAAATGGGAACGAGGCCAGAACCGGAATGTCAACAGAAAGCACTGCCAGGGAATTGTCCAGGGCTGTGCTGATGTTGTAGAAATGCTTATCCAGAGAAGATGGGTGAGGACCTGCCGAAGGGGAAGCGCACTGTTCCTTGACCATGTCCAGGAACAAAGTGGGAGAAGGAAAAACCCCTCCATGCACTACAGGCTTGGAGAAGAATGCATCTCCCTGGCTAGAGGGAATTCCTTGTGGCTCGGGAGCCACTTCCTCTGGTGACAGCTTGGCAGTGACCAAGGCCATGCTGAGTAATGGCCTGAAGAGAGAAGGATTGAAGACCAATGCAGAGGATGTCTGCTCTGGGCGAGAGTCCTCCTCCTCTGAAAGATTTTGGTCAAAGGTCTCGCCTTCTTCACATTCTGAACGAGAGGAGTAACTGTGTTCAGGTGGTGAAGCCCTTCCCTCCCCAACAACCTCCTCCCATTCTGGTAGAGAAGAATGGACCCTGAGGTCCTGGGGCCTGTGTAAATCAGGCTGATGAGGCAACTTATAGTTTGAGAAGGGTGAAGGGCCTGAACCCTTTCTGGAGGTTGAAGGATTTGCTTGAAGCCTTCAGCCAATCCCTGCCTAATGGCCAAAGAGACAACATCTTGGATATCCCCTGGTCTATGCTCAAAGGTAGGGGCAGAAGGCCGAAGGCCCGCTGCTGAGGGAGTGAAGGTGGCTTTAGGCCTAGATTGAGGAGAGGTTCGAGGTCTGGAGGGAGGGGGAGGAGCATAGGGCCCAGAAGCCTGTTGAAAATAAGGCCCAGATCTGCTTAGATCCTGAGGATCATTGTACTACAAAAGCCTCAGGAGACAGGCTCATAGATAACTTCTCCTCCCCTGGGAGGGCTTGGCTGGGGCCCACAGGTATCACCTGAAACATGCTGTAGTTGCACTCCCTTCTGTTGAATAGTTCTGTTGAACTGCCTCTCTAGGGCTGCATGTCTGAGCTTTTCTGCCCTCAACTTAGGCTGAGTTGCCTTCTTAGGGCCTAGAGCCTGAGCTCTGATTTTAGCAGCCACCTCGCTCTGGACTGATTGGGTGTGTTGCCTACAACTTTTTCTCTTATTGGCTTAAGAGACTGTTCCACGGTGGGGGCGGGGGGGGACTCTGCCTGACCCTTATCTTGCTCCATTTGAAAAATAAAGGCTTTTACGATGGAAAGAAACTGTTTGTAAATTTTTTGTATTAAGCCCCTTAGGGTATAAATTGGTCCCCGGGCTTACAAAATGGTCGCTCACCTCATGGTGGAAGGCTTCAAACCAAGATGGCTGCTGACTATGGGAAACAGGCTCCGAGATTGAAGAATTTCTCCTTAGGCTATAAAGAGCCCTGAGCAAAGGAAAGGCCAGGCTCTGGCCACACGATCAGCTGGCTGATGCTGGTATCAGTTTGCCAATCGCTTTTTATGATCGCTCAAACCGCAGGCATGGGGGAGGTCTACAGACGATGCCCAAGGTGTCTGAACAGCACTCTGGCAACGCTGCTCCCAACGCTGCAGGAGAGAGAGAGCCCTGCTCTCCTGGAAGAGCAACTGCCCAGATCCTGGGAGCTGCTGAAGCGAGGAAAAAAGATACTGAAGATCGCTGGTGAGTGCTATCTACAGAACCTCAGCTGGCTGAAGCTGTTATCGGTTTGCCGATGGTTTTTTACGACCGCTCAAACTGCAGGCATGGGGGAGGTCTACAGATGCTGCCCAACTTGACTGAACAGCACTCTGGCAATGCTTCTCCCAACCTTGCTTGAAACAAGGAAAAACGGCATTGAAGATTGCTGGTGAGTGTTATCTAACAGAAGCTTTCAGAGACACAGCTACTGACTGAAAGGAACTGAGTCAAAAGCTGGGGTCTCTTCCGGGGGCTGGCTTTTATATCTTAGTACAGACTCAGCTATGACATCAAAGGAAGGAGTCAACCCATCCTGGGCTCTCGATGCAGCATGGAGGAGAATATCCTGTGTTTAGAAATATATTCTATAAATGTAACTTCCTTAGGTATGGTGTCCACTCTACTATTCCAAGAGAGCAATTTGCCTGAGACTGAAAAGAAATGAGTCTTCTTGGTAGCAATTGTGGGGATATCTGACATTGTAGAGTTGGGAGGATTTGTTTGGGAGACATCATCCACTTCAGCAATCCTGAGAGTATATTTACTGGAGATGAAATTGGATACAAGAACACTATAGCTTCTATTGCCACAGGGTAAATCTTGATTATTTGTAGGTTCGTTGCTTAGTAGGATAATTCTTGGGCACAAAAAGAACTGGTAATATAGACTGGGAATGTAGTGTGATAAACAGTGTGAAGTGAAACTCAGTAGCCAGGATTGACCAGGGACAGTTATAGGCGAATCAAATACCTTCATATTTGCATTTTTATGTATCTGAAATCCTGAAGTCTGAAGTGACTAGCAAATGCTGAATTTGTAGGTGGTTTCTTGTACATTTTAAAAAGATGTTCTGTTGTGAGATATCTAGCTGGGAGAATAGGATTCCTCCTGGATTTTTATCACCCTCTTAAGCTATGTATTTCCAGTTTATGTCTGGGAAGACTCCCTATCCCAAAGGGTACCAAGGTGATCCTCTTTTGGAATCAATAATGCCTTCTTTAATTTGAAAGGGCGCTCATCACTTCTTCATTTAGTAAAAGAGTCAGTGATTTGTATTTGACTTGTTAAGTGCATAAGTAAAACATACCTTACGTTGTTGTTGCTGGTCAGCTGCATGGAGTTTGATAGAATGACTGTTTTTCTACATTCTTGGTGTTGTTACTCTTACAGAGTAGAGAGCTTAATTCATGGACTTGATGTGATGATGACATGTTGTTTAAAATGTCAGCATTTTGTTGTGCCTCAATTATTAATTGTAACTGAGCAACTCCAGTCATTTAATGTTTTTGATGAATTATCCCCAGCTGGAGAAATTAGTTGTAAAATAAAAAAAACTGACAATGTATATTGATAACGTATACTTATCAAAACTGATAAGGTGTAAATAAACAACTTGAAGGAGCTCCTTGTAACACTTGCTGTCTCATCACTGTTTTGGCTCCTCCCCCTTCTCCAAGCAAAATGTATTTTAAGACTGAAGATGCATATGGTAATGAAACATATGTTAACACATCAAGTTTCATAACTTACATCTGTTATCTTTTATATTTAAATGTATAAAAGTATTTTTCAAAGCCAATTATAAATCTTCTTTACATGCAATGCTTTCTGTTGTTTTTGCCAAAATTTTCTGTATGCATTTCTGTGCAGTCATAAGAGTTGTCAGAGTTGTGAGGTTTTTTTAAAAAAATTCTTCTAGTTTTACAAAGTATCTTTCAGTTGTTAAGAATGTAATCTGAACAAAGGCATAAAGAGATTTTACTGAAGCATGTAACTGCTCTTGATGTACAATCATGAAGACCCTTTGATAGTACCTTGTATTACCATTTTACCTATTAAAACTATTGAAAATTAATTGCCTACTAAATTAGCTGACATTTTGATTAATGTCTGGTAGATTATTCTGGATATTTCCTTCTGAATATTCACATTGTCTCTGTTTTCTTTTAGGTCATGTAACCACATTCCGAAGTGTTGTTACAAAGATGGAGCTCTCTAAAATTTCAGTCATCTTTCAGTGTACATTTTAAAGATTTTTTTCCAAACCTAAAAAATATTATTCTTTCTCACATAATGGACTGTGTTACTTTTTGATGAAATCCACGGACAATGAACTCATTTTCATTTTGGGGTCTTTTCCTGTGGTACAGTGAAATCCCATTCTCACTGTGTTCTTTGGGGAAAACCTAAAGTGGTTTTTTCCCAATCTTATCAACTTGCTCTCAACTTTGATCCAAATTATTCATAACAAAGTTCCATGTAGTATGCCTTGATTTTTCAAGATCTGTGAAGTATTTTCTTTATAAATATATATATATATATATATAAAAACAACAATCGCACAAGGATTTTTTAATTGCTTGTAGAAGATGACTTTTGTCTACTTGATTTTCCTCCCTGACTACTGTAAATGGATCCTTACTTCAATGCTTTAATGGTACTAATATGAGGCATTGCATTCATTGTTGCATCGCATTGTTATCAAATGACTTGCATAAACAGTGTTTCAAATGCCGAGGCCCGAGTCATAACATTCAAAAGTGTCATCTATGCAGAGGAGAAAATCAAGTTTTGTTTGTGGATAGCAAGCAGATGAACTTACTTGCAGTTTTGGAAGTGAGGACTGATCATAATAATAGCTGGGCTGGACTATTTTGTTTGAAGAAAGGGAAGATATGCAGCTTATTTTTTGGGTTATTAATAATGATGTTAGTGACCGCATCTTATATTCTGACCGGAACTAAAGATGGTCTTTTGCTTATGCAACCAACACTCCGTTATGGAGTTTTTACCAGCAATTCAAACTTAATGGACAATGGCAATTTCTGTGATAAGAAAGAACATTACCAAAAATCTAAAATGAATATTTCATATGCAAAGGATTATTCCAACATTAAAGTACTTATTGACACTATTGTTTCACACATTGAGTTTGTACCAAGATATCCTCCTCACTTGGAAGATCTGAAGAAACAAGAGGCACATGTAGGTATAAAAGTGGTCTATTTTATGTTGTAAAAATGTTTATTGCATTGGAATAGTAGTAGTACTTATATACCACTCCAGTATACTGTTTTACAGTATAAGCAGTTTATAGTGTCAGCATATTTTTCTCAACAATCTGGGTCCTCATTTTACCTACCTCAGAAGGATGAAAGGCTGAGTCAACCCTGAACTAGTCAGGATCGAACTGCTGGCAGTCGGCAGATTTAGCCTGTAATATTGCATTCTAACCATTATGCCAGCACAATTCTTAATAAGGAATTGCTATTTTGAATAAATATCCTAAAGTAGAGATTATATGGCTATATTTAATTTTATCATATTAAAACACATCTTTTCTTTATGTTTCACATGTTTCCTTATAATTTAATAGGCATAAAGGAGATAAATGGCTGCTACTTTTATAGACAGGTAGTCAAATAAGCAAATGCAGAGCTCTTGATTTAGAGAAGTCTCAAGGAAATTTTCGATGCTAGGAAATGTGGATAGTGTTTAGATGCACTGAGCATGTGGAAGCTGGTTAGAATTGCAATTGTGAAGCTCAACTTTCACCAAGTAAAGGAATTTTGGAAGATGAAGTACAACACCAGTTTGGGAAGACTTGCAAGATAAAATGGCTATCGTGCAAAATTAATCTTTTGTCTCTGGATATTCAAGATTACATCAACACTTTTAAACTTACAAGTTCAATCCTTGTAAGATATTAGTAATTATAAAACTTTTAACTTACACAAATGAACAAAATTCAAGCTGTGACAGGTATTAATAATAATAAAAATTAATTTTTATATGGAAGAGTGTATAGTTGCCTTATTCATGTTAGATAATTCTATTAATCCTTCCTGATTTTAAAATATTATTAAAATATATTTTTCTTTATATCCATCACTCTGTGTCCCTTGGTTCTGTGTTTCTGTAGTATAGGACAGCTAAGCATCAAACTAGCAGAATACACAAACAATTTAATTACCATAACAAGAAATATAGCCATAATACTTCAACAAAGCTTGTATTGTTTCTGTTGCAGATGTTCTCAGTCATTCCCAACAAATTTCTCCCAAACAGCAAGAATCCTTGCTGGTATGAAGAATACAAAGGAAACAGTACTAGAAACCCTTATGCCACAAATTCCTATGCCTTGTATTCCAAACGTTTTCGTACAATATTTGACTATCTTCGAAAGGTATTTTGGAATCATTTATATCATTATGATGACAAATATTACCGGCTGCGTTGTCTTCCTCATTTTTATATCATTGGCCAACCAAAATGTGGAACAACAGATCTTTATGATAGGCTTAGAAGACACCCTGAAGTGAAATTTTCAGCAATTAAGGAGCCTCACTGGTGGACCCGAAAACGTTTTGGTGAGTAAACATGATGATCAGCAGTTTGCAGTTATATTAACTTAAATGAATGCTTAACAATCCTTAGGAAGCAGTATTCAGTAATTCTGAAGTTTCTCAAGTAGTAAACGAATCAGGGAAATAATCAAGAGATTTGACTTTATGTTCTGAATGTGTTTCAAGTTGCCTTAAAATCCTACCAGCTGGCATTTTCAGGGATAAGTGTATGGCATCAACAATATCATTACCTTGAATTATTTGCCCAGTGCAAAATGTGTTGATGTAAGCAACAGTCTTTGTCTTAGTTTAATGATTTTTACAAGGTGTGTATAGAGTAGCTTAATAAAAAATCTTAAAATATCATTTAAAACAGAACTTTCTGCTGTAAATTGCCATAATCTAGCTAAAATAGATTAAAATGGATGGCACTTAATGTTTATTTGGTGGTCATTATTTCAGACATTTATTTCAGTTTAGGGTAAAGCTGATAACGAAATGTGGTTCTCGTTATTCTTTCAGACAATACCCTTTCACTAACTTCTGTTGAATATGCATTGTATTCCAGAGTTTTAATTATATTTACACCTTCGAGTCCTCTAAGGAGCTCACACTCAGATTCTCTTTTATTTTATACATGCAACAATGCTTTGGGGTAGATTAAGCTGCAGGATGATGACTGCTCCAAGTTCACTAAATAAGCTTCATGGCTGAGTAGGGATTTTTTTGTCAATTGTCTTCCAGCACAAGTGAATAAACAGCTCTTTTAGCTCTTTAGCTATTGAAAGAAATGATTTGGCAGTAACACTGAACAATGAGATGGCCAAGTTTGCTAATGGTCCAATTATTCAAAGTAGTAAAAACGTAAATGAGATTAATGCTCCTCTGAGGGAATCTTTCCAAATAGGAGAAAATAGGCAATGCAGTGGCAAATGTGGTTTAGTGCAAGTAAAACAGAGTGCATCCTAAGTTTGCATAACCACGACTTTAGCACAAGGTCAGCCTTGGAAATATTATGTACAGTTGCAACCTGCATATTTCAAAAAAGGTATATCACAAAAGGGTAATCAAATTAATTATAGCATTGAGGTGATTCCTAAACGCATTTAAATTTTAAAAGGAAGAGTGAGAGGGACATGATAAGAGTAGATAAAAATGTTGTATGGTATGGAGAAAGTAAATAACTTCTTGTAATGGTGTTAGATTTCTGGAGGTAAGAGGCTGGGAATTTAGGAAATAACAATATTTTGCCTGAAAGAAGTGATGTAGTTATCATGCCTGACTGGGGAAAAGGACATTTGAGAAGCCAATAGACCACTTATTTTAATCTTTTGTTGATGTTCTATAAGCACAATTTGAGGAATTTACATTGTGGGTGCTTTTCTACTGCTGCCCAAATTGATGGTTAATCAATTTGGTGCTTTTCTACTGCTGCCCAAATTGATCTGTAGCCTGTATCCTTAAATGATTAGTTGCTGCCCAGCTGCAGAATTACGTTGCCAAAATAATATTATCAGATAGATAGGTCATCTAGTATGTGCTTTTTCATGTGTTTTGGAATGAGAAAAACACACGTAATCAGTTTTCTTCAGCAGCCTTTTTTTTTTTAACCTTTATACCTTTGGAAGGACCCTTGAAGTAATTTTCAGGTCTCAGAAAATCGCTGTATAAAAACTGCAAAAAATAAGAAATCTTCATGATACAATTTATTTCTGACTTAACATCATCCCCATTTTTAGCATATTTACAGCAACAGCAAACTGGCAGGCTGGCAACTGAGTCATGTCTTATAAAATTCTATCAGTTACAATTTCTTATGAACTCCTAGCAAGCTCTCAGAGAACCCCAGTTGAGAATGGCTGACCTCAGTGATTTAGCTGTAGAGTATTGTTTCATTAAATCTGGCTCTTCCCAATTTCTGCAACTAACATTTGGTGTTAGTTATCATCTGACAACGAACTATTTCAGAGACACAATGACAAGATGATTTTATATCTTCTTGTTTGAATGCAAATTTGGCAGAATGCATACACTGAAAGCAACTATAAGTCTTGTATATGAAACAAAGTTTATGATCACAAAAATATTTTGCAATAGTCATAGGAAATTCGAAGTGTCCCAATTTCCAGATTCAACTCAATTTTGGAATTACAATTCATGTGCCTTCAAGTTGGTGTTGATTGTTAATAACTACATAGTCTTTCTTCAGGATGATCTGTGCCCAACCTGCTCTTCAGATCTTCCAGTCATTATCATTTTAAAAATCCAACCACTTTGAGGCTGATCTTTTCTTTTTTCCTTCCACTTTTTCTACTATTTTATCTTATCCTACTATTTTTATACTATTTTTATTTTCTACTATTTTTATCTCTATCTATTTTATTATTTTTATCTTAGAACAAAAGCTCATGGAGTACTTTAGTAGCATAGTATCTAGGTATAGTAAATTAGAGACATTGAAGGAGCTGGATATTGGCATAATGTGACCAAGTATGATAATTTCAGCCTGGTTGTTTATACCTTCAGTGAGAACTTTTTATTGACTTAATTGTCTCTTATATATCTGCTTTTCCTTTCCCTGCTATCCCCATTCCCACAGCAATTTAACTTAAATGTGATTGTAACTTTTTTTAAACAAGATAACAACTACTGTAATAGAAACTATGGGGGAGAGCTGCTGTTTCAGCTATTAAAGATGCTGAGCTTGTCAGCTAGAAAGCTGATAGCCTGGGTTCAAGATCCAAGTGCTGTACGACGGGGTGAGCTCCTTTTACCTGCCCCAGGTCCTGCCCATACAGCAATTCGAAAACATGCAAATGTGAGTAGATAAATAGGTACCACTATGGTAGGAAGATAATAGGGTTATGTGCACCTCGGCATACAGTCATCCTGGCCACATGACCACAGAAAGGTCTTCAGATAACGCTGGCTCCCTTGACTAAGAAACAGAGCTGAGCATTGCCCCCTACAGTTGGACATGACTGGGCATGGGATACCTTTACCTTTAAGTTATCTTAGAACATAAACTCATGGAGTATTTTAGTAGCATAGTATCTAGATATAGTAAATTTCATAACATCAGGTAAAAAAATCAGAACTTTCATTTGCATCCCTATATATTGCATACAAGATTTGTTAGATGTTCTTTATAATCATGTTAAAGATTAGATTGCAATAATTTCTTATGTGGATTTGAAATTTGAAACTTCTGTATCAGGCAGATTGGTTTCCAGATTTCTGTATCTAGATATGCACAACACACTCTGACTTTTTATTACTTATCCCTATTATTTTACCATAAGACTCATGGTAATGTATAACTGACTTGCTATAGACAAAGACATGGCACTTGGAGACTAAAAATTAAATTCTCTGGGTTATCTGAGTCTAACAATTGGCAATAAAATTCAGGGGCACAGATGACATCATTTTGGCAATCAGTATCTCTGATTCTTTATTTTACTATTGATTTGGCCTTCTACAAGGTCAATTGACTTAAATAGTCAGGAGAGAGGCCAAGATTGCACAATTCCAGCTATGCAGGTGTGGTGCTGATGGAATTGGTAATTGTCTGACAGCAGCAGTGGCACCAGCCAGTGGGATCAAATATGATTCTGAGATTAGGCTTAGTCCAGAGTTGAGCTTTAATACTTGGCACCATTAGCTTCAAGCCTCAATACTGCAATCATCATATGTGCAAATACAAGTTGTAAGTTTCTGAGGCCATTGTGACTTTGAACTGTTGTTAATTGTTGAACTGTTGTTAACTTTGTCACGGACTGTTGTAATACAATCCATAGTCTATAGAGCTATTCAGATTAGATTTCTAGGCACCTAGAATTTAAGATGTCTGCATAGCTTACCACATGGATACGATTAAAGCCTGACCACTTCAAATAAATAATCCACTTTTAGCCAAAATTCACTGGGCTCCCTGGACATTCTAAAATATTTGTCTTGGATGGATTCCCTTGGTTTTTCCTCAAAAATCTTTCATTTCTTTGTTTTCTATTTATAATTCTGTAGTCATTGATTTTACAGTGACTCATCTGGACTTCTATAGCTAGGAATTACTTTTTGTTGTTGTTCATGACTTCCTTACATATCCTGCCCAATAAAACCATTGTTCCGAGAAAAAGCATCTTTTTACTAGATTATACTAATATAATACAGTATTTTATCAAATGTTTTTTGTAATTTGCCTTAGGCTTACTGGTTTGCTTTTATGGTATAATCTCCATTCTATTCCTATTAATAAGAAATATTTTGATAAAATCTAGGTAAAATTATAACATACTGGTGGAATTCTAATTAAACAGATAAAATAATAATAATTTAACCCATAAAACTTTTCCTGTTTGCTTTTTCTCGAATACATAAAATTTACAACATTTGCACTATATGCATTTCAGAAATAATCTACATTTGATGTATATTTTTCATTGAAAATTTTTATCCTGTTCAGTAGCCAAAAAGGCTTTCATAGTGTCTTATTGTTATTCTCAGGGTAACATGCCACATTAAAAATATGAGATATCAAAAATAGGTGGGAAAGGAGGAGAGGATTACAAGCAAATTCAGGTGCTAATTTTTTAAATTATTTGGAAACATTCCCCACCATTTTACACAGAAATTAGAATTGCATTTTAATGCAATCTTGCTATTAACCCAAAGTAATTGCATTCTTTGAACAATATCTTTTCTTGTTCCAAAATGTAAATCATTAGAAGTCTGTATTATATAATTGCTTATTTTTAAAAAATTACTTCTTTGTGCCTTTTATTTTCAGGGATAATTCGTTTGAGGGATGGATTTCATGATCGTTACCCTGTGAATGATTACCTAGATTTGTTTGATTTGGCTGCCCATCAGATTCAAAATGTGCTGCAGAGAGATTCTGAGAACAACTATGAAAAGAGGAGCAACATTATTATTGGTACAGAAACTGTCGCTTAGGATAGTTTTTCTCAATCTGGTGTTTTAGAATCTCTAATAGTAGCTATTTGAAGAATTTAAGTTTGAAAAAGGCTGATTTATAGAAATTGTATTTGCGGTGCTGGTATTGGTATGATTTATGGTTTCTGGTATTAAAGTGGGAAGTCAGACATTTTTAAATATTTTAGCAATAAATATCTGAAATACATACTAGATAACAAAATGTGGTGATGGCATTTTATTTCAACAAGTTCTGTTAGCAGAGAAAGGAATAGTTTTTTTTACAACAACCTAGAAGTAGCTTTAAATGCCATTGAAAGGATAAATTTTTTCCACCACTACAAATATCTAAATTCTTAACTATGATGCTGTTTAAATATTTGCAATGTTTATTTAAAACAATTATTTATAAACATACAGTATATATATTTTTGAGAAGTAAACATATTCACTTTTAGTAGACCATTCTCACTATGTCTTGATTGTCCTTGCAGTGATAAAACTTGTTAGAATATATACCTAATCTATTTAAAATATTCAAATAACATCATAAGATAGCTAGCAATAAACATGATAATAAAAAGCATGTATAATTAGAAGTAGTTGGCATAAGGTTTCATATCTATGTCTTCATTTCCCGGTAGATTCTAGATGGGTTTTTTTCCAGTCTATGCCCTATTCTAATATTCCGGCACAGAATGTTAAGGAAATTGTCTCCTGATTATCTTAATTGAGTCACCTAAATCTATATAAAAAGATTTACCTCTGTTTCAGCATTGTTGTTTTGAGACTAGCCCTAATTAGTTGCAACTGTGGAGTCAGCATGACAAAAACAAAGTCTACGCAGGCTCTGTGTACAAATAGCAAATAGCAATTACAACTCTTTCTAATTTGGAAATTAGAAATGCATTAAAAGAGGAAATCATCCTTTACTGAATGTCTTCTTCCTATGGTGTTGGAGACAAAGCCCTGAATTTCTACATAATTTTTGTTACATTTATAGATAGATAAATACATATACAGTTCTTTGAATGAAATATAGCATTTGTGCAGGACAGTAATTGTTTAATTGATACTCTGAGATAGAAAGATGCTTTAGAAACTCTAATGCAGGGCTGTCAAACTCATGGCCTGCAGGCTTGATGCGTCATGAGCTGGACAACCCCACTCAGTTTAGCAAATGGGAAAAAGTCCTAATACGTCACATAACGATGCCGTGATGACTCGAGTTTGATACACTTGTCCTAATGTAAAACAGCATTTAACATGATCTAATGCAGGTTTTCCAACCTTGACAACTTTAAGACATCTGAACTATGTTGGTTGGGAAGTTCTGGGAATTGAAATTCACACATTATCAAGGTTGGAATCCCTGATCTAATGGGTCTTGACTTCCTAACAAAAGCATTTAATCCTAGCTACACTGATGTGGAGTCTGTTATTTTTATAAACAAATGTTAAATGCTCTTCCTAGAGTTTGTTTCTCAAGGACAGATGAAACAATCTGTATTAGCATTAGATATGTCTTTTACATGAATATATTGATTCAGATTAATTATGAACATTATTATGAAACAGTTGGACCTCTGCTGCAGTTTTATAGAAATGAGCTTTTCTAAAAATGTTTACTTCAGCATGCATACTATATTAAACTTTTTATTAACTTGTTAAACGTGATTTATTTCATAATATATCCATACAATATGAAAATCGGAAGGTCATTTAGGGAACAGTGTTATTAAACTTTATATAATTAAAGCTGTAAACATTGCTCTAACTTTAACAGGCAGTGTAATTTTCCATTGAAAAATGCCTCTGAATCAAATGATTACTGAGTTATAATTATATTGTCGGATGAACCAATGGCTATTGCCTCAGTGCTATACAATACACAAAGTTCCAAGCATTCTAGATAGGATTTAGTAATTTAAGATCATTATAGCAATGAAGCATTTACCAGAAAGTTTATAATGGATTTTATATGGACAACCTAGAACTATTCTGTAATAAAAAGAAATAGTTTAACCATATGTTATACATTCTTAACTTCTATGAAAAATTTGTATCATTTTTACTGTGCAATTGTGATTTGATGTATCCATGCAGCAGTTAATTTATCTTATGTTGAATATGACCACTTTTCTTTTCATTTCTTTTCATCAACATTAATTCAAGTCCATAACAAGTAAGATTCTAAAACTTGTAGAACATGTACTTTTGAATGCCATTGCCAAGTTAATAAGTTTTGAAGAGCTGATTGCCAAATATGACAAAATAAACAATGGAAATCTACATATCAGCAATTATGGCAATTAAATGGACACAATAAATGACTAAATATGTCCACCATATTCATCTCATAGTGGACCTGCTATAATCTATATTTTAATAATGGAAATTCAATAAAAAAGATTGGACATGCCTAATAGATTGCTAAATTTTATTTCATTCATTTATGCAGCCTTAGTTTGCAAAGCTCCTCATCAATATACTGGGAAACTGACATGTTCCAGAATAATATTTTTTGGATACTGTATGTACTAAGAATTTGAGCACATAGCAAGTAGAGTTCATTGGAATTTACAGGAATCATATAAGTAATACACATCAATAATCATACTATTGTTTTTCAGAATGAGCAGTGTTTTATGAGGACCCAGATTGTTGTCGGTAATATGCTGACACTGTAAACTGCTTGGAGAGGGCTGTAAAGTGGTATATAAGTCTTAAGTGTTATTATACAGGTGTAGAAAATAACAAAGAGTAATCCATAGAAATTAAAAATTTGAAAGAAGGGAATGAAAACTACTAAATCTAGTTTATAAATATACTTTTTGAAACCTTTTTGTATTTGCAAATCATCCTCTATCTGCATCCATACATCACTTTATACATTGAGCTACATTATTTGTTTATATAAATATTCCTTAAAGTGTAAACATCTTTGAAACATACTCAAACATTGGGATTTATAAAATATAAATTTAACAATATCAAAAGAAAGTAGACTCAATATTTTAGAACGTTTTTTATGTAAAAGGAAATAGAATACACGGCTCATTCACATCAATATATATTATAGATAACGAAGTCTTTATGTTATCTTGTGTATATTTTTAAACTTGAACTTGTTACTTTCTACATGTTGAATTTTAGAACCAATTAATTCTATTCAGTTTCTGTGGTAGAAGTCAATGTACAACAAACACATGGATAATGGCAGATTTGAGATATATGATGTATAACAAATTTCTGTGTATGTCTCTCAAATTAAGGGTAACCATCTATAGATTTTGTCATTTCTAGGAGAGGCAAGTGCTTCAACAATGTGGGACAACAATGCTTGGATTTTCTTTTATGATAACAGTACAGAGGGGGAACCTCCATTCTTAATACCAGATTTTATTCATGCCTTCCAGCCAAATGCAAAGCTTATTGTTATGCTTAGAGATCCTGTTGAAAGGTGCGCATCCAATGTTTTCACTATTTCAAATGTTTTCTATTTTTTACATATTGTTGTAATTAATAGTTCACTGCATTGAGGATTTTTTTAAGATTAAAGAGTTTCAATTTTGCCTAGTCAGAGAGATGCAATTTTCAAATAAATGTCAGGTCTCCTGATTTGGTAAGAGAAATATTATGGTTGAAGTTTTCTCAGATATACTGTGTGTATGAGAGACCGAGTATCTATGTTTGTTGTCGGTGGTCATGATGGGAATTATTTTACCAGATTCATGCATTATTTGTCTTGATTTATTTTCCGAGATTGTGCCTTATTAACATTTTGATCTTCACCATATATGTCCATCCCATTTAATATTACACAAGATTCATTCTTTGTGCACATAAATATATATGATAACAGCTGCAATGATGCTGTTGATATTTTACCCATTTGTGTGCACCAAATGTGCAATACATGTACATGTGGTTGGACTTCATTCTGTATTTGTGGTAGCCATCTGACTTTTTCATACTCTTCTCTAAAAATGTCCCTGCAATTGAACAAAGAAGATGGTATTAGCTATTGCTTTGTACTAATATTACTTGTGTTAGGCATCTGTATTACTTTTTCTAGGTCTCTTTTAAAGTTGGAAGTGGCACATTTGATATAATTCTTTGTTTACCATCATTCTGGCTACAAGCTTGTTCAACACCTGGTTGGCTTAACCTCTCTACTACAACATCTGGAAAAAATGCTATCAGAAATAAGAAGTAGTTCAGAATATTAAACTTCATTTAATGAAAGCTATTCACAAAGAAGCCACAAATAAAATTCCAATAAGCAATGATTGCTTTTTAAAAGTTTATTGTATCATCATTGCTTTAAAATTAATTATTTTAAATAATAACATTTATGCAAATGTTATTGTAATAACTCCTGGGTAGACAAATAGTCTGCACATATATCTCTTAGTGGAATGGTTTGCATCCAACATTTTATATAAAGAAAAGAAATGTTATGCCAATTTAATATAGGATGTTCACATGACTCACTCTTAACCATACTAATTCATATAAGTCCTTAAGGCAGCATCTGATCTAGGACAACTGAATGAATGAAAACTAATTTGAGAATAAGATGATACGATTGGAAGAATTAGATTATTCACTTCCTTACACCCTCTTATTACCCTCATGGGCCCAGGGATATATGTGAAAATTAAAGTCGTGAAAGATGGTATGCTGCTTGTGTGATGGGTATTCTCTAGATTTTAATTTGTCTTTTAAAATGGACAGGTGCTAAAATTGGAGTTACTTCAACCTATGGTAGTTTCAGACTAAAAGTTCTTTCCTCTGGTTTAGGTATCTAGTTTGCCTATTTATATGGCAAAATAACTCATGCATGATTCAGTGGCGTATATAATATGAACAAGTCACTGGAGGAAACATAGCTTTTAAAATTATTTCTAAAATTATCTAGCTATGGAGAATCAAAGAAAATTATAAATGAAGTAATATTAAGTGGATCATCACTATACTAATTGATTTGGTGGTATAGAAGGCGGAGCTCCAAGAAAACTCTGCACAGTTTCATTATAGACAAAGCAATGTAGAATCAAGAACTGGGTACTTGCAATATAATATAGATTAGGGATCCCTGCCCCCCTGGGCCGTGGTCTCTACCAGGCTGTGGCTTATTCATAATTGGGTTGCGTGAGTGGGTGGCTGGAGCACCATGCTGCCAAGCCACAAAGGTTGGGGACTACTGATATATATCATTTAAAAAGAATGATGAGGTAAAAGATTAAACAGAATGACTAGAATTATTACACAGCAGCAATATAATGATTACCTCTTGAAGACTATTTTATTCATCTGCCATAAAAAAACAAGAGTAAAATACATTTGGAATGACTATTATGGTAATAAGGATTTGATTTGATGTTTGGAAAATGAATTCCACTATTGTTGGTGAATTGTAGTAGCTTGACAGTTTGTGTTAGTTTTGTCTGGAATGAGGATTACCTGATACTCTGAAACAGCAAGTAAATCAGAAAGAAGCTCTTTCCTTAGGATATCTAAGCCAAACAAAGTTCTGCTGCAAAAAACAAAATTTATGATATAAATAATATCATTTGTTTCTTTCCTGGACACTAGCTGTTGATTTATTATTTCTGTTAACTAGATGGCATGGTTTATAATTACAGTTCAATTATTTATGTATTTTTTCATTCATAGATTATATTCTGATTATCTCTACTTTGCAAGTGCTAATAAATCTGTAGAAGACTTCCATGAAAAAGTGGCTGAGTCATTACAACACTTTGAGAATTGCTTGACAGATTTCTCTTTGAGAGCCTGTGTGTACAACAACACCCTTAATAATGCCATGCCAGTATGTATATTTCATTTCACATTTTATATATTACTCTGAAGCCAAGTATTACCAGTTTTAGAATATGTAAGAACCAAGTACTTTATAAAATCCAGTAACTGAAATTGCATATGATTGTTTTTAAATAGAAATAACTGCATACGGGCAGCTAGACTAGAGATCTTTTCTCCAACATCTGGTTGTTGAGAGTAGTTTCTAAGAACATACATTTTGCAAGAATGAAATGTTGATTTAATTTGAATGCTATTAATTTCTTTTCCTTTTTAAAGTCCCCTCAAGAAGTTGTACATAAAAAAATGACACCAATTAGAGTGAGAAGGAAGATTGTTGGGAGCTCATCAAAAATAGAAATAAATTCATCTGTTATGTGTAATTTCTGCTGTAAATAATTTTAATTTTGTTTTTGTATAGTTCCATTAATTAAACAAATATTTTTTGGGAAAATTATATAACATGAATTCATGTGTTTTCTGTTGTTTATCCCCATTTCCCAACCTGACCCTTTTCCACATCCACCTGCCTAATCACTTCCTAATCAACCATTTCATTTCCCCTTGCATCTCCCACTCAGAATCTTCACTATGTGAATGTAATTATATCTGGAATAATTTACTGCAGCTCTTTCCCTCCCTCTCTCCCCACACCTCTCTCTCAGGTAAGACTTCAGGTTGGTCTATATGTTGTTTTCCTCCTTGACTGGCTGGCCATTTTCAATAAAGATCAAATATTAGTTCTCCGGTTGGAGGATCATGCATCCAATGTAAAATTAACTATGCACATGGTGTTCCAGTTTCTTGATTTAGGTATGAATTTTAATTAAGCATATCCATCATTGATTTATTGTGATTGTCTTGTGTTTTCTAAGGCTTCCTTTCCTCTGTACTATCTGTCTTCAGCACAGCTGCAGATAGAGTTTGCACCAAATAAATTCATTTTGGGAAGGTATTGGAAGCTGTCATATTTCTACAGCTCAAAGCTTTAAATATAATATTTTAAGTAGTTCATTTGCTATCTACTAGTCTATTCAATTCATGCATTCAGACTGTTATTTTGAACTAAGCGGCATTGTCAGCTTTACTTTAACTTAGTCTTTAAATTTCCTTGAATTTTATATGTACACTAATTTTTATTTCAATATAAACCAATTCCGATAACTTTCAGATATATTTGTCTTTGAAAGAAGAGTTTGTAGATAGATTTAAGAGAACGACATATAAAACAGCACCAATGTCTAAACAGAAATGGTCTTCTGTGAATCAACCCTTTGTGGATGGGAGCAATATGGCTTTTCTTATAAAAATTCACTTTGAGCCATGGTGGCACAGTATTGCAGGTTAATTCTGCTGACTGCTGGCTGATTGCCAGCAGTTGGCTTAGCCTTCCATCCTTCTGAGGTCAGTAAAATGAGGACCCAGATTGTTGGGGGCAATATGCTGACTCTCTAAACTGCTTAAAGAAGGCTGTAAAGCACTGTGAAGCAGTATTTTTAAAAAAACTATAAGTCTTTGAGAACAGAGATACATGAATAATCCTCCTGAGCCACTGAATATTAATATATAATGTTACAGATTGAAAAAAACTTTTTAACTTGTCAAGTACAAAAGTTCAGATGCACATGTAATGGTCCAATTAAACTGATTTATTGCTGATCATGCCTCTGCACAGGAATCTTCTCAACTAATGGTTAGCACCTGCTTGGGTTTAGATAAGGGTCAATGAAAACTGAAGGGAGTCCACTTATGACTATGTAGGGGTTCTAGATTGATCCCCAAGTTCTGCCATTCCTTCACTTACATAATTGTATTTAAATAATTTTAATTACATTTAACTTGGCTCATTTCTTTCCCCTGGCATTCAACCCTATTTAGAGTATAGCCTTTTGCCATATCACTTATGCCTGACTATATTTAACATCAATTATCTTTTTACCTAATTTAAGTAGAAAAGATGTGGATGTTACATCAAATAATACAAAAAAGCAAATGTCATTGTTTCTCATTAAGCCACCACATGTAACATTCAAAGGCTTACCTGTTTATTGATTGTTGTATGATTTGGAAAATGCTTAAGAAAATGAATAAGCAAAATTAGACATGATTATAAATATATAATTTTTATCATAGGTGCTCTAAGCGAAAAACAAGAAGCTCTAATTACTAAAAGTCCTGCATCAAACACTAGAAGACCTGAAGACCGGAATCTAGGTCCTATGTTGCCTGTCACAAAAGAAATATTGTGTGATTTCTATCAGCCTTTCAACAAAAAACTTGCTGAAGTTCTTTCTGATGAAGCTTTTTTATGGAAAAAGTCCTGATTTGACCATTTCAGAGCCCCACCACTGCAGTGCTTGGAAAGAAAAGGATATATTTTTAAAAATTTTGTTTTTCAGATGTAAATAATTGCCATTGTGAAGTCAGTAAATCTGCATTTTCATGTTTCTCTTACTTGCTATTATGCCATATTCTTTTCCACACTGGACCCTTTCAAGTGTATCATCCCCGGAACTTGAGTCAGCATGGGAATTCCTTATTGAGGAATGCTGGAATACAAACTGAATTTCCAAAGAGGAATATAATGATTTTTGCCATTTTTCCTCAACAAAAGAACAGTGTACAGATAAGTTTGGTTGAAGCAATCGTAAATCTTCTGGTTTTAAAATAACTGTATTACAATACAGAAATTAGAACTAGATACCTAAAATGCACATTTGTTCTCACTTTTAAGTATATCTTGCAGTATTTGGAAACTGTTTAAAATGGCTTTTTAACCATTAAAGTTAATTAATTTTAACCTAGTTGTTTGATTTTTACTTCGACACACTATATTTACTTTAAATGAGATGACTCCAAAATTAAAGAACTCACCCCCCCAAAGAATATTAGACAACAATAAATACAGTAACAACTAAATTGCCTTCATTACAATGTTCCCATGGTATCTAGGAGAACCATCTCATGTCATAGGTAAAATATTAGGAATAAATTGTTTCCCCTCCACGTAAATATAGTATTCTTCAGTAGGCAGACTGTGAAATTTACCAGAAACAATTAACTTCTGAAATATAATGAAGCAACTTGTTTAATGGAATGTTCTATTTAAATGGGCTCCTGGCACAATTATATTACAATTAGCAGCATGTCATTTTCTGAAGAATGTCCACTTTCAATCATTAAATCAAATAGTTTTGATGTGAGTTTATACAAAATCACTGGATTAAAGCCAGAACATTCTGGGTCAATTTACAATAAGATAGAATAAAAATATGTGAGTGTTTGTGTGGGGGAAGTGACAAAAATGATGTCTTTCAGCTGCTTATTTCAGTCTGTACTCAACATAGTACAAATCCAAAGCCTACGGAAAAGAGTGGGAATTTACTCTGAAAAGTCTTCAATACTGTCTCTGAGGAAATAGCTAAAATAATTAAAAATACAAACATAATTAAGTGTAGCAAGCCAAATTTTACCTGGTTAAGAAATATTGATTAAATTAATTCTGTGTTCGGGCCAAGAAGAGCTTTGCCTGATAGATTTTTGATCAGTTTAATTATTTGAAATCCTTTCCCCCTGCAACAGCAAAGCACAATAATAGTAATGAAAATATAGAAAGAAGGAAAAAATAATGGAATCTGGTAATTTAAAAAGGTAGCTCTTCAATATGTCATTATATTGATATTAGGGTATCATCATTAGATAAAATGTGGAAGAAACCCACAATATTTTTTTAATGTTGTGAAGTATCAGAATATTTTTAATGCGTTTTGTTACCTTTTTATTTTTTCTTACTCCAGTAGAATATAAATAGAAACTACCTAAAGAAATAACATTAGGACAATGTCCATCATTTTGTCCAATAGCACAGTTATTCTCCAAAACCTGAACAGAATGGAAATTTGATGTGATAGGAAAAACTTTAAAAGAAAAACCAAGATTGAAAATGGAGTCGCAACTGGCTTGGGAACACTGTTTGTGTGACAGTTACTTATTTATTCACTTTATACAAATCATCTAGTATAATCTTGGTGTTTTACTATTCCTTGATCTTCACACAACTACTAAAACAAAGACAATAGTACACAAATTATCTACTTCAGGGTGTGTTTTACTCAGCTAAACATGGTTTTCTTTCCTTCTGATAACCTTTGCTCTATTCCCCTATTTCTGACCCTTTTAATTATCTTTTCCACTTTCAAGTCCAGTAGTTCAAATATATATGTAACAATATAGACAGCTTGGGGTGAATCTCATGTGAGCTGATTAGAACATTTCTGTGCTATAAACAATTACCAGTAATTCTGGGATGCAAAGAGTTCCTTGTTTGATTCATATGCAGAAAAAATCATCTGAAACCACATGATCTGGGCTTGCTGTACAGTTATTTATATGAGACATGAAAATCTTGACAGATTGCCCAGTCTGAGAAAATGTAGAGGGAAAAACAAATCTCCGAAAAAGAGTATAAACCTAAAGGATAATGTGGACCGTGAAATTACTAGAATATAAAGGGGAACAATACTCCCCTTTATATCTCACCCATAGTAAGTTCATTTCACTTTTTTCAATTGTCATTTTTTCCAGCCTGTTCGACCATATCCTTGGTATTTGTAGCCTGTTTTTGTAGGTCTTGGAAGGTCTGGCTGATGAATACACTATTTGATTTATGGTTAGGTTCTGTATTTTCATTTTAGCTTGAACTTTGATTTGAAGAAGACTCCGTGTTCTGCTACTAATTGCCTGTTATAAATAGCCTGATCAAGGCTGCAGTTCCAAGGAAAAATATCTTACTGCCATTCCAGTGAACATATTGCTTAAAAAAGGTAGACTCACACTGATTGGCTGGAGACCTGTCATTAGAATCTCCTGGATGTGGCATACCATAATAGCGGCATACATCCACTTCATTGTCTCTTTCTGTCTCTTTTGTTATTTTTTCCCCTGGTGTAGCTTGTGAGAGCAAACAGTATTTCTGTCCCTTATACATCTTAACTTATCCTTTTTATTTGTTGATATGAATTGTTCATCCTCTACCATTTTAACTCTACCGGGTACATAGTTCTGAGTTCTTGTTACTTTCTTTGTTTGAGTTGTTGCTATGCTGGAATCAAAAGACTGAAACAAAGCCTGATTTCTGATTTCAGTACAGGTAGTCCTTTACTTATGACCACAATCCGGCCCAAAGTTTCTGTTGCTAGGTGAGACTGTTGTTAAGTTGCAATGTAGCATTTTAGTGCATTTCAATGACACACAGTAAAGAGCTCTTTTTTGAGCTGTTTTTGCCAAATACATATTTAGTTCTCAGTGCAATGGATAAAGCATCAAAATAAAATGATGCCCAGTTGTACCAGGTCTTCCTGCAACAATTCATTCTGCTAAAATATTCACAAATTCCATCTACTGTCAACAGCAAGGCAACTAAGAACATGTGAATACTTAAACATATGTATGCATGCGTGCCAATTCACACACTCAGCAGAATCCTCTATATGATTTTTTTAACTTATGTATTTTATTTAAATAAATGACTACATTCTGCTTATTTTATTCCCAGAAATAATGATAAATCCCACGTTCCATAGAGGAACGGTGTTCTGAAAGGGATGAGTTAGTTACAGATTGTTCGGTATCTACTTGGGAAGAAGAATATCAATGGTTACAATTCTCAGTAGGAGCAGCCGGAAAGTTGGGTCTCCATCTTTTCCTCTCAACTGTTTTTAAGTGCACTTGGTTGTAAATGCCCATTTTGAAGTTTACTTTTTCCTTTTGACTTTCAACTTTAACTGTTAATTTATTCCAACCCCTTGCTACATATTAATGCAAATGGTTTGCCTATATTTTACTGCTTTATTTTGGACTTTCGCTTTTGCCATATGAAAGTCAGTGGCGAGAGGACTGGGTAGTGAAATTTATCTGATTTGATTTACATTTACATTGGATTTTTACTGCAGAGATTTTGTATTCTATTAGTTTTTTAAAACACTGGTCTTATTTCCTTTAACTTCTGATGGATACTTCCACATTTCCACTTTTTCTTATGGGAAATACTACCTCAGTTTTTTCTGCAATCATTCTGTTATGATACCTGTACTTCTGTCCTTGAGAGGAACTGTTTATGTATTGTAGTTCAGCTACAAGAGAGTTTTGGACTATATTAAAATGTAAACAAAAATAGCCTAAGGATTTTGAACATTATACATCATATATTCCTTATAATGTTCATAAAAAGGGATATAAATGAAAGGCAAAAATCAGATCAACAAATATTAAAGCCCTTTGGGAAGCCTTTGGGAAAAAACAGTTGTTTTTAACTTACAAGTTCAAATTGATGAGAAAAAATAAAGAAAATGACTAAAGACCATCTCTTTCCATAAAGCCTTTATGGATAGTGATGGACTTCTTTAATCCAAAGGTTATCTTGTTCCCACATCCCTAAGAATTTCTTTCTGGTTATTCTCAAGGCTAAGAAGATGGTGAAAACTTGCAGGGCATTGCAATCTAGTTTGGCAGCAGGAACCAGTACTAGTAACATTATCTCCTCAAATGCAACCATTCTGCAATGACCCTTTGTGTCAAAATGATTTATTTTGTCAAGTTGTTGCCAGATCAAGCATCATTCTCAGTATACAACATAATTATGACTTGCCTTTAAGTTCCACTTATTCCTTTCAATTATAGGAATCAAGGGTGGGGGAGTTCAAAGTAAATAAAAAAGATGGATTTAAAAAACAATCCGTTAATTTCTGTTTAGTCATAAGAATAGAGAAAGAAACAGTTTCAACAAAGCCCTATATCATAGTTGGAAGAAAGCTTATGCTCTCCATCTTCCAAGAGAAGTAGGCTTTTACATTTGGGAAGAAAACAAGACATTATTGCCTGTTGATTCCAATACTGGAGCATGTCTTTCTTCAACCTAAAAATCTTAATTTAAACAAAGAAGTTGCTTCAGCTTTGCATCTGTCATTTTGACAGGAATTAGTAAGTTTTTCCTAGTATGCTAAAGGCATTTTGTAATAAAAGGCATTAAACTCTTTGCAAGAAACTAGAAAGTAATCTTCTTTAGATACCCCATGCAGATTGTCCATGGACATATGTTTAATGTTACCCTGATCCTTGTCCTCAAACAGGGCTTTCAGCCAGAACTTTGAAAATATCAGATGCAAGAAAGAGAGAGAGAAAGCTTATGCTGTGCTGCCATCTTCTGTCTACTATGGAGAATGTTGTTCTTGGTAATGAATGTACTTCTGATAATTAAAACCACTAAAACATGCATTTTTTTCTTAAAATTTATACTGTTTCTAGACAGCCTGAAATAGTATGGTGGAAAGAATATCATATACATTTTGTACAAACTTTTTAAGTTACAGAAATCTGAACATTTTATTTCTATTTATTACATGCATTTTATATTGCTACACGAAGAGTAAGAGAGAGTTAGGAGAGAACAAGAATGAAAGAGGCCGAGTGACCAAAAAACCAAGCCTTATTCAATGCCAGGAGTACTGAAAATTACCATACAATGAATATGTGGTTTCTTTTAGTCTATAAAGGATGGTTCTCAGAGATAGTGAGAAATTTATGTACAGTGCAGCTGAAATTTCTCAAAGCTCATTTTTAAGGAAGGGTAGGAAGCAGGGAGAATGGATGTATCTTTTTCTTCTTCATAAAAATATAAATACTTTGCTTAATACTACAAAGATAGCAAGTTTCTGAAATCCATCCCATAAGATCTCTGCATTTGTCTCTTCACTTGGTCCTGGCAATCCTTTCAACCTCTTAATTGGAGTCAAACAACTGCAAAGG